TCCTAATAAGGCTAATCATATCTATGGTATTTTTGTCATGTCATTTCTTGTTATTGGTGCAGAAATAGACAAACACCCATATTTCTGTTATAAGTTATAATATTAATATAATATTGGCCATAGGTCATATTTTACTATATTGTAATTGTTTCCAGAATACATCCCAATAGCAATATTCGCAATTCATCTTTTGAAATTAGTAATAATATAATACATAATATAATATAGGTTTTTTTCTGCGTTGAGATATTACCATGCGTTTTATTTTCAATCTTTTTTAAATGAAAAAATCAAGTTTGTAACTCTGCTAAAATAAAAGACCCAATTTTATTGTAAAAAAGGTGCATGACCTTTGCTAACAAGCTACATTTTCAAATACCAATTTTACTTCAGCCTTTGTTGTAATATAATTTAGTTGTATTCTATCAAATATATTCTGAGAGAACTCCTTTTGGTAATGTTGGTTTTGCTCAATGAAGCTTTAGAAATGTTTTTTAGCACACAGGTCTTCTGGTTCAGAAACCATTTGATAATGCAGTGCAAAGATATTTTTCCTCCATTTAAGAAATTCAGTTCACTATTCATGTCCTTCATGGCTACTGAAATTGATGGTCCCTACTTCCTGTAACAATGCATAAGGGGCCCTGTGGAGTCCATTTGGGATATGACGACTTCTTTACAACCAGACAAAACATGCCATTGAGCTATGAAGTGAATCAAAATGGCATATTTAACAGGATGTTCCATGTTGTGACAGTCCATTTTCAGGCAGATGGTAAAAACTATATAAAGACGCGGTTGGACGATGTTTACATTCAGACCAGCCTCTGCAACACAACCTGTAGGTTTCCACAGAGTCCATTTAAAGTCTGCAGTCGGCGTTACTGCTTGCTGCCATCTCGTCAGCTTGGAGTCAATAAATCTACATTTTGGTGTCAGTGTTGTGGAAGGTCGGTGAGGGAAAGGTGTGCCAAGCAAATGACAGTCAAAATCACTTGAGTGACTTTGATAGACCAAGAGGACATGTCAGTCAATGCTAATGCTAATAATGCACTTCACAAACATTCATTCTCAAAGTGCTTTTTCTTTAGGTATTAGGTTACTATATGATATAATCTATTCTTTTGTATTCAAAGCTATGATAGAGTTTGCCAGCCAGATAAACAAGGCTTTCTTCTTTGTATAGTGGTGAGCTATCTGAATATTTTATATTCATACTGTTATTCAAAACAGGGGTTACACACTTCTTATCATCTTTGAACTGAAAATAGTTGTAAAACTTGATCAACTCCAAAGAATGAATCAAAACAAACTGACAGCAGAAAGCCGTGATACGCCGTTAGCTTATCAAGTTCCTTTGTCTTGTATGTTAGCAAACATCTGTTTATTCATACGTTCAGAAGAATGCTACCTGTCAAATTGAACTTGAATATTTACTAGTGTTTATTCCAGGTTCGACCCCCTAAAAATGGATACGTCCCTGATGTTTACTGGAAATAAGAGTGCAAGCTCAGTGTCATACCTTTCAGCGAGTGTCTGTAGACAGATATTTTCATATGTCTCTGGAGTCCTTTGTCAGAGACTGTTTCAGAGAGAAATCTCCCATGGCATTTCATTTTCACTTCAAATGTAATACTGTAATGCTGCCTGTCTGCTGGTGCCAAGAGTCCAGGTGCTAATGCCCCTGTGGAGAGCCATAGCAAGGTGAAGACAAGGCTCTAATGTTCCTCATTTAGAGTGAAGCTACTTTCTTTGATTGATATGTTGGAATATTTATAATTGTTGTACATTTCTGCAAATGATGATTAAAATATAATGAGGTTTTGACTATTGCCTGTGTTGATTTACTCACATTGTTTCCCCAGCTGTTGGTAAATGAAGGTTTCTTTTCAGCCATCTCTTCAACCAATTTTCCAAAATGTTGTTGCTTTCCTTTCAGTAAGGGGAGTACTATGAAGACAAACATGTATAAAGGGTGAAGGAAGGACATGTATTATTTATTCTCTACTCTGTCAGGAGGATAAGTGTGCTAAACTTGTATCCCTGGTCAGGTAGAAGATGTGCTTAGAGTAATGGATGATACAATGGTAATGCAGTTACCATGTATCATCCATTCTCTATTCTCTCAGTATGTTAATATTCCCGGTGTTTTGATTCATTTTACCCATTGCCTTAACCCGCAAGCATATGTCAGCGGCTGCACACAGTGCATGGCTTGCATTTATTGGCTTCTGGCATCATCCTAGACTCACTTTGTCTGGCTGTAAATGAGTGTAAATGGATATGTTAGTGGCGCTATGAATACGTGTTTATTGGAAGTAATGCCCTGTCACAACCACAGCTGGCAAAACGAAAGCCACTGTAACAATGACATTCATTTGTCTGAAGCAGAGAGAGCATTTTGTGAAATGTAGTCCATTTCACAGGGAAGCATGTTTATACTTGCCTGAGGCCATGCACTATTGACTGATATAAAGCAGTTGTTTTCCACATGTACACTGAAGTGTGGTACTGAAAGTCCCTTATATGATGAGGCCCTCTGTTTCGCGAGCGTCGACGGGGGGGTGTGCTAGTGGAGCCTCGCAGCGGCGAAACCACGCCGCGCCACACAAATTGCGCCGCATAAGTGTGCCGCATTTGCGGCTCAGTTGAGGCCCCCTCCGCAAGGTGAGGTCCCCTCCGCAAGGTGAGGCCCCATGCAGTCTGCGTGATCGGCCTGTAGGGAAGGGACGGTACTGATGTTCTGGATTAAATGTTATCAGGAGCAGCTTCACAATTGTTTTGCTATAATATGCTAGTATGGCACTGCTTAGGGCAAATAATAAGATGTTGTTTTGTGTTGGTCTTAATATTTTATCCATTATTTTGTTTCTGTCTTCCAACAAAGACTACTCCTGTATTGAAAATCGCTACGGTCAAACCAAATCTCTATTCAACATGTAGGAAAAAGGGACTTGTTGTGGTTAGCTGTTTGTCTTTCTGCACATGTTTTACTTGGCATCACAATGTGACTTGTGCTAATGATTCACATTATCACCTCAAAGAGGCGTTGGGCTATGCCAACCATGCTGCTGGGTGCCTTCGTGTTTGTTACATGCTTTCCTTTGAGTTATTTTGGGTTTGTCTGGGCTGTCTTCACTGGCATGCATTTGCCGCAGAAAGAAAAGCCCCTAGCTTGAAATAGCATCTCTCTATTAGTGTTTTTGACTCGCCTCCACTCTATGAATTCCTAATGTTTTCGACTGTTGGTCTTTCTCTTAAAAAGTGTATTGTTCAGGAAGAACTAAACAAACAACTTGGATCACAGAAGAGCGAGTTCTTTAAACCAATAACAGCTTTATTGCATTCACTGTGTCCAATTCATACAGAAGATCTATGAAATTATTTTCTAACGAAGATTGCTTTTTGCTATTGTGCTATGGAATTGCTGTATGTTTATTTAGATAACCATACCTCCTCAATAAAATAAGATGCTCCTGTTGTTGTACAATATCAGAACATCCAATGAAGGGATGTAATACTTTTCTTTGCAAACCAACCCAGAAACTTTTAAATGCATACAAAAAGCTCTACAGGGTGGTCAGTGACTGCTAAATGAAGCGTTCACTGAAAACATTCATTTCAAAAACATATTACCTGCTGCTGGCCCAAAATGTCTACAGTGCATTTACTCTGATGGAAGCTTCCCCTAAGCTGTTTTAGGGAACATTTCTTTGAAACTCACGCTTTCAACCAAAATAATTAGTTCATAAAGATTATTGCTCCCTCAATCTCATGACCCTTTCTCTAGATATGTCGCTATCCTAAATTATGAGATATGAGTTGTTGTGTTTTTTCAATGCCCATTTTGCTTTGACCCTACTGGATCTCTAGATATTTTGAGCTAAGGGAATTGCAGCAACAGCTGGGTTGTGTAACATATGTATCATACCCATACCCCATGTGTTTTCCTTATAATGGAAGAGTATAAGGCTGCCTAAAAGAGTATGCATTTGTATTATTGGTAACAATGTTTTACATTGATTGATTAATTCTACAGTATTGTATGCAATGTCCAAAGGGGTTACATTGACAACCTAAGACAATGCCCAATAGTCACACATCAAGTCAAGTCAACTTTATTGTCAATCTCAAAATATGTTTGTACACACAGAAAGATCGAAATATTGTTCCCCACTGTCCTGAGGTATAACAAAAAACTCACACATTAAGATGCAAGAACACTCAATAATATACAAAAAAACACAATATAACTGTCTACTTCAAGTAAGCAGGATATATATATAAAAGATGATGTACATAGTGCAAATGGGAGTGCAAAATTGTCCATAGCAGCGTAAAAGTGATGCAACATATGACATTGAGCAGCCATTGATATACTATGCAGTCTGTTTTCAAGGGGGAATTAGGGAAGTACTGACAAAAGAGAAAAGCAACACAACTGGTTCAAGGTTAAGGAAAAGAGATACATTTGCTCTGTGGGGAAAGTTAAATGAGAGGTGTTTTTTTAAGGATGACTGCATTTAAGTTATTTAAGGTTTCTCTCTGGTCTCAATGTTTCTTGGTATGTGAATAACTGATCCCTGCCCTAGATTTGTCATTAGAAGACTTTTAAGAAATGGGGTCATGCCGTCTCAGAAATTCTGATGACTGAAGTGTTTGAGTTGAGGAAATGGTGTTACTGACAGGGGGAATTATATTAGTTTATGACTGTAGTAAGACCTGAGAAGGGAGATTTATTTTACAGAAATAGTTTTTTAATATACTTTGCCTTTAAGATGATCAAGGTAAATAATTAACACTGCAATACCAACTTCAAATCTGAATATAACACATTACATTTATGTATGTACCATACTTGTCATACATGCTCTGCAATGCTTTTACATTTTGACGTCATGATAAAACACATTGCCCTACTGTGTGCTCATAAGGGGTTATAGATTTGTAGATGTCTGTGACTAATCTTGGATTTCAATTCTTCTTTTCTTGACATATAGCACTATACTCCATCATACTATTCTGCGTCTTCCTATGGATCCCCTTTGTTTATTTCTACTATGAAGAAAGGGATGACGACAACATGAACAAATGCTCGGTAAGAACTCACATTTCTTCTTATACACACAGCACTGCAATCTGCTTAGATTTGGTTCTGAAGGATCCAAATTCATTCAAATGATTCAGGTGCAGCTTACCAATATGGTAAATGCAAAATGTCTTGTTGTTGTAGTTTAAGGCAACATGAAACCATTCGCTTCCACCCATTTTATATGACAAACACTAAGAGATGATTTCCATCTTTCCAAATACCAAAGTCTTTACTCCAATCTTCTGTTTACTCCTTTGTCAAATCAGGTTTGTCATAACACAGAGCATGACAGATTTGAAGTCAAACTGGTCATTTTGCTGTAATGTTTCTTTTATGGTTTTGTTTAATATTTGGGGGCCTGGCACTGAGGAAACCACATTGTATTGGACCTATGTTTGTACATGCTAAATGACATACATAAAATTGAAACCTTAAAGGTGGGGTAGGTCATTTTGGAGAAACCAGCTCGAGTGCGCTAGAATTTGAAAATACACAGCCGGAAAAAATCTGCCACTTCCTTACAGAGCCCCTCCTCCAACACACACAAACGTGCACATGACCAATGAGGGCACGAGATAAGTTTGTGCACAGATGGAAGGCTGACGGGCAGGTAGGCCATCCACTTATTTTAGCCGGGCCGGCTAAAATGATTGGTCGTGCTTTTTACAGTACTACGGCTTCCACAGATGACATTTTTTTATGGATTTTTTGTCAAAGCACTTAAAATATTCATTGCTATCGGGATGTTAAGAGCATTCCATGGAATATAACAAAAAGTGTATCTCGAGCCGGTTTCTCAAACTTACCTACCCCACCTTTAACAGGCTAATCAGTATTATTAATTTTTAAAAAAAAAATCTTTATAAATATTACTCTCTATGGTATAATGCCATGTTTGCTTAGGATATTCAGTCAGAATGTTTTTAAGGGCCATGAAGATACAGATAACGCACTTAATGTGTGTTTGTTTACCAAAACCAACACAACTGGCTAAACAATCTTTATATATGTAAGAATACATATATACTATTGCATTCATACTGTAAGTCATAGACCCCACATTATAACTTAAAGGGGACCTATCATGCAAAATGCACTTTTTGATGTCTTTTATACATAAATATGTGTCCCCGGTGTGTCAGGGAACTCACGCAGCGTCAGAAAATAAAACCCTCTCTCTTTTCCTCCGTACCCAAATATCTCCAAATCTAAAAATGGGGCTACAACGGAGCTGATCCAGATTTGCGTCCGATATAACGTAATATCGGAAATGTAGGCTGGCTTTACACCCACGGCCCTATCAGAAACAATGCCCGACTGTTTTGGACGTAATATGGTCGGTTCATGTTTACATTAGCATCGCTAACACTCAGAGCTAACCTGTATTGCACAGAGCATGTGTGTGAAGAAGCAGGAAATAAAAAGGAACTCACCTTGTGGTATAACCGGCAAGAGAGAAAGCCTTTGAGCTCCGTACTGTTTCAGAAATAATCCTTGATAATCCATGATATGGGGTTTCATCACGGCAGTATTTAGTTTAGACCAGGGGTAGCCAACACGGTGCCCGCGGGCACTCAGTCGCCCGCAGGGGCAACGTAAGTCGCCCGCGGGGCATGTTCTAAAAATAGCTCGCCAAGCAAATCCAAAATGTATAAAATACACAAAACAAAAAAGGAAATGTAATTAAAATAATCTACCCTATGCATAAACAAAACCTAAATCATAGCGAACTCTATCTAGCCTACTTACTACAACTCTATATCTATCTAACACCCCTCCTCCCCCCACCCCGACAATGAATATCGACCAATCACGTTCTTGCTTGATTTGCGGGACCAGCGTTGCAGTCGGGAAGAAAAGCAATGTGGCACCTCCCCGCTGATTTTCCTTCTGGCAGAATATACACAACACATCAGCCCCATTGAACACAGCCTAGTCATGCCAGCCTATACTGCACATGAGGGGCAGAGTTTTACTCTGTGTGTTGTAACATGCATATATATTTATTCCACTTGACACACACACACGCATGGCGTAATCTCCACTGGGGACAGGGGGGGAGGACATGTCCCCCGCACTTTTCGAAATCCCGTTTGTGTCCCCCCACTTTACAAATATGTTTTATTTTTTTTAAGGCAAGCCGTCATCGCCACGGAGGAGCACGCGAGCGAGACAGGGAGAGAGGGAGGGAGAGAGAGAGAGAGGGAGAGGGAGAGAGAGAGAGAGAGAGGGAGAGAGAGAGAGAGATATTTATAAGAATAAACAAGTTTAAATGATTTGTTATTGGTTGTGATAATATTCTAAAGATGATTGGATTATTGAAAAGTATACAGCTCTCTTTCATATGAGTGTTGAGAGCTGTATCCATAAATTCATTTTGTGCTCAAAGTGCACCAGATTGATGCATTTCACTTCAACATTTTAAAAAACATCTTCCCGGGGGTGCATGCCCCCAGACCCCCCTAGAAGAGGTGAGGACCACCCCCAAATAAAGCAGGTTAAAATAATTAAATTGCATACATGTTCTTTTAGTAAACACTGAAAACGGGTCCCACAGACCCAAACAGCACACACAGGTTAAAGGTAAGCATATAATAATGTTAAAATGTGCTAAATATATACACTGCAAAAAACAAAAAAAGAGGAGTAAAAGTAGCCTCAGACTTGTTTTATTTTTTTAAAGTAGCTCTCATCCTAAAAAAGGTTGGTGACCCCTGGTTTAGACAGTAGCTGCCGGGTCCCGCATGAGCTCAGCCCCCTCCTTTTTTAAAAATTGTTATCAATCTTTTCTTTTTTTTTTAATGCTTTATACCCAAAATCAGCACTTTTGAAACAGGAAGTGAAATAGAGGGATATGAGGCATGGCTAGAATGGGTGATCTGTTTGGTATTTTGAGCAAAACACTTCATAGATACGGAGCCCCCCTGGTGACATTGGTGAGAAAAATATTAATACGTGGCCACGTATTAATAATGCGTGGCCACGTATTAATAATGCGTGGCCACGTATTAATAATGCGTGGCCACGAATTAATAATGCGTGGCCACGAATTAATAATGCGTGGCCACGAGTTAATAATACGTGGCCACGTGTTAATAATGCGTGGCCACGTGTTAATAATGCGTGGCCACGAATTAATAATGCGTGGCCACGAGTTAATAATACGTGGCCACGTGTTAATAATGCATGGCCACGTGTTAATAATGCGTGGCCACGAGTTAATAATGCGTGGCCACGAATTAATAATGCGTGGCCACGAGTTAATAATACGTGGCCACGTGTTAATAATGCGTGGCCACGAATTAATAATGCGTGGCCACGAGTTAATAATACGTGGCCACGTGTTAATAATGCGTGGCCACGTGTTAATAATGCGTGGCCACGAGTTAATAATGCGTGGCCACGAATTAATAATGCGTGGCCACGAGTTAATAATGCGTGGCCACGAGTTAATAATACGTGGCCACGTGTTAATAATGCGTGGCCACGAATTAATAATGCGTGGCCACGAGTTAATAATACGTGGCCACGTGTTAATAATGCGTGGCCACGTGTTAATAATGCGTGGCCACGAGTTAATAATGCGTGGCCACGAATTAATAATGCGTGGCCACGAATTAATAATACGTGGCCACGTGTTAATAATGCGTGGCCACGAGTTAATAATGCGTGGCCACAAATTAGTAGTGCTGTCAAAATTATCGCGTTCACGGCGGTAATTCATTTTTTGAATTAATTGCGTTAAAATATTTTTTTTTGAAAGATTTCAAACCATGCATTTTCAGCAGCCGAATCAAGTGCCTTTTGCTAAGGATGACACTGTGCTTAACTGCAAGGGATTGCAGAATATCCTTATAATTCATACCCAAATGAAAATCAAATCAAAATGATCCATGCTACGGTACAGAGTTTAGCTAGTGTTGTCTATGGTTGTCACTCAGTCATCAGTTTCTATAGACTATCTGGATTTAGTTATTGCGTAATAATTATTGTGTTCCCACGAATTACTAATGCGTGGGAACGTAATAACTAATTCGTGGCCACGTATTAATATTTTTCTCACCAATGTCACCATAGACATGTTTTATATATATTTATATATCTGAGACCTATGCTATTGCCTAAAAAGAGCATGATTTTTAAAATTTGTTTTAGTGAGTATTGTACCAAACCAGTGATCACAAAGTGCCCTTTTCTAATTTCAATGTGTTAGTTTTGAGCTGACAGAGGCATTTTCTCTTACAGACAATGAAGTCTTTTGTATTGTAACTTTAGAAGCACCTTGAATAGCGCTGGTAGTGACACCTTATCTCTGCCTGGTCAAACTGGATCTACACTGACTCTGAATAGCTGTCACTCACTATTGTCCTTATCTAAATGGAGTATATGACCCCGTTCCCTCATTAAAAATGAATAATAAAATGTCATGCCTGTGATTGACCAGTAAAATGTTCTTCTTTTCCAGCAAGTGAAAAACGCTCTGAAGTACACAGTTGGGTTTGCCATTGTCTGCGTTGTGCTCCTTTTAATTGGGTAAGTTGGAGAAATGGCTGGTTTCTTTGGCTTCAGTACACGATAGGTGGAAGAGGGCGTGGATTTGTCATTGCGTGGAGTTAATGAGAGGAAGGCCCCTTCAAACAGCCACCATATCATTTGCCTTGCCATGATAAGCCATTAAAATAAAAAAACTATAGACGTCCTCTGTCTAAATAAAAGTGGTGTTCTTGTCAATCTGATTCCAAACCAGCATGTGTCATCTATGTACAAAGCTCATGTGGAGGGAATATTGAGGCTTTTCTGTGATGTTGTGTGTTATATCTACAAATCTATATTGATGTACCTTCTCAGCCATGTCCCATTTATCCCGCAATTTTCTACTAGTTTTGTTCCTGTACCTGCAGTACATAATAGACTTCTCTGCAGCCGTGACAGCAACATGCCACGAGTGCTACCTAAACTAAGCAATGTGCTCTCTCAGCCGTTAAATGATACATTGGAGGTTTACTTGGTTTTAGAAAAATAAAGGACCCATGACTATTAGGGCATCTTCACTGGTCTCACGATTCGATTCGATTACGATTATCCTGTCAACGATTCGATTCAATTCGATATCCCGATGCATCACGATTCATACCAATGCGTTGCATCCTCAATTTTCTATATTACTGCACATGGCTTATTTTTCATCAATGCATACATGCAGTAAATACATATGAACTCTCTTTTTATTATTTAGAAAGTGCTTCAGAAATCAATAACATAAATGTCTTGACATTCATTTATAAACCAAAATAAATTAATTGTATAGGTCTAGCCTCCCTATATCTGTGTGTGAAGTTGTTCCATCCTCAAAAACTAAAAATAATGCTTCTGCAGTCTAGCTGCAGCTTCTAGCAACGGTCTTCTGTTAAAAAAGGACACTGAATGTCCTGAATGTGGCATCACACACATGACTTGAGTCTGAACACAGCAGACAACAGGAGTATTTAACAGCATATAACAACTAAAATACTGCATGTGGGTGCACACTTACATTCTCTGTCTTACTGTTACATAAATGCCATGAGATTAAATTAGCTTCATTATATCTCAGTGATTAAGTGAATAATAAAGTTTCTATCGGGTCACTATCAGCCTGTCACTCATTATTTTCAGGGAGGGGGCGGGGCTTGGAGGAACGGAGAGGAGACGGTGATCGCGGAAGCTTTTTTCCTCCTGCCTTCACAAACTTTACACACGTATTTATCGTCTGAAAATTGCTAGAGGACATTCATACTCTGCAATCCAAGACTTAATTAAATCCACCAAAAACCTGACATGATTGTAACGCGATTATTTTTTGAAAAACATAAATCTCTGAGCCGCAGCGACACGGAGTGATTCAGAGCGGGTCCTTCTGCTGTTGGTTCTGGACTGGTGTTCTTGTGTTGGTGGATAAAGCAGACTGCTCCGTGTTTGGTGTTGCTGTGCCGCTGTCACGTCTGTTCCCTGATCTCTGCGTCACCGACCGATTTGATATTAAAGTGACAGAAAAAAAAAACGTTATAGTAAAGCCGCGGCCGGAAAATCAGGAAGCAACGTTACTACGCTATAACCGATTATCTTCCGTCACTGCATCGAGACCGAATCGTCCACGTACGCATCGCAATGCATCGTAGAAACGATTATTTTCAACACCCCTAATGACTATACTTTTTCACAGTTAGTGTTTGGAAGTTAGGATTTATTTGAGACTAAAGCAATTATGCTCCTCTTTTACCTCATGAACTGGAAACTAGAACTAGAAGGCTTTGTTCTGGCTATTGTTTCTGTGGTAACACAATAATGGCTTTTATACTGGCCTGCTTTTCTCATACTAGGAGAAATCATGGTTGAAGTAGGTTTCTGTTAATTCATTTGGTCTTTTCTTCATGCGATTTATATTTTGTCTTTTTTACCTTGCAAGGTGTATACCTCATTGTATTATTTATATTTTAATGCTAATTTTAATTGTAATATTGCCACTGCAAGTAACTTTGTTTAACATTAGGACCCTACCCTCTCTTGTTATTGGTGTTAAAGTTACTACAAGACACTTTAAATTTGTTATGAAACATTTTCAATGTAATACCAATGCCTCTATTACCTACATATAAACGAGCCGCGCGCCTTTAAATTGGCTTTAAATTAGAATGATTTTCTTTTCTGCTTCAACTGAAACAAAATAAATACATAAAGAATCAAAATCATTACATAATGTTATTGTTTCAAGGTCTTAGAGTGAGGAGGCTAGGAGCATTTCAGAATGCTCGAACATTATGCATGATGAATAGACAAAAGCATTTATGTTTGTTATTCTAAGAAAATACCCCTTAGAGTTTGCAAAAGTTACATTTCACTGCAGAAAAAGTTGTAGAGAGTTTTGTCACAGCTTAGGTCACTTTTATGAGGTGTGCTTTCCTAGAATGAAAAATGACACATGGCATGGCCTTAAGTGTGGAGCCCTGAGGGTAGCAACATGATAGTGGGGCAGATAAAAGCTATTGAGACCTCAGACCTTTTTCTTTTTGCATGTAAGGCAAAGAGAAGTCTTAGAGATGGTAATTTCATGTATTTGACCTCCCCTGGTGAAGGCTTTTTATTTTTTGAAGGACCAGTTTTTGAATTTCCTCAAAGAATCTGTCTCTGCTGTCTGTCAAGAAGGATTCATGATTAAAGGAAAACCATTTCAGAATCAAATATAAATAAATATATATATAAAATTCTGTATCAATACTGGTGAACCTTTCCCTCTTTTTGCTTGAATAAATTAATACTGGGAATCTTGAGAAGGTCTGTTTAAAAATGTACTAAATATGTTTCTCTCAAAAAAACAAACACAAAATCATCTACCTCTTTGAATAAATGGGTAAATGAATTGCTGACTTTAAACAAACCATGTCAATCATGTTTGGTTGTGCTAAATATTGAAGACTCTTAATACATAGTAAATAGTAATAGGAACAAACATGGATCTTATTTTCACAATAAAATGAAGAAAAGAGGTTCATCTTGTTTTCAAGTGCAGTATCAAAGTGGATGCTATCCTTTTTATATATTTGTATTTGTCTGCTGTAAACATATTGTACCAGGGGCAGTATCATTGTATTTGGCACAGAAAATTACATAATACACATCCAAGGAGTTACTCTTATGCACTGGTCGTTACTTCTGCTAAATTATTCTTTTGTTGCTTTCAGAGCCTTCATTCCACTTGAGCCCCCACCTGGTCAGAATTCCACCCAATGGGAGAAAGTACAATACCTTTTTGAAGAGCTTGGGAGTAGCCGTAAGTACAGCCTCTTTTTGGAATTCTTCACCCTTTTACAGTTGTTGTTACAGCGACTTCATCAGATTGTCTTTCCTTTATTTATTGTGTTATCAGATACATTTATTAGTTCAAAGTAACATTTAGCGATCCCACTATTCTTCTAACCGTATACTTTCTTGCTTCTTTTTCTTTTTCATATTTTATTCCAGCAACATTGACCTGTGTAAAGTCTACAGTTTTAATGGGGAGCATATTTGAGATGGGTTGACATAGCAGACGAAAAAAAACAAGTTGTCAAAAGAAAGGGCATATTGGGTGAGGTGTGTTGAATTTGAAAAAACTTCAACTCATGCAAAAAAATTAAACTCATCCCACAGCTTTATGACCCTAATTAATCTTATTCTTCAACGTGTCAACTGTCAGCTAACTGCATGTTAGATAAAAGAAACTTGTTACATCATGCGTTTATTTATTCATGTTCACCACCACACTTCTTACGTTGATTGGTAATTATTTAAGCATTCATCTTGCTGGATTTTATTTGTCAAACATCACAGGGCGTGATACTGATGTCAACAATACGTTTGGGCTTAACAACTCGTAGTCTATTTAAGAAACTACCGAACATGAGACTCACAAATGTTATTGTCAATTACATGCTTTGGATTCCTCCATCAATTCACTTTACCAGCAATAAAAAGTGACTTTATAGCCTCAATTTCAAAGTGCAGTAAGAAATTCAATTTGCCAGTTATAATCATCTGGTAATGATGGTTGACTGTGTGATCCCAACACTGCGGAAAGACCCTCCTTGAGCATCTTCACTAGTTAAACGGAGCATTGCCAAATATGGACTCCTAACAGTCTTCTGGCCTTTTGCCATCTGGGGATCAAGGAGGAAGTTGAACCATCTGCCTGTCCTCGGCTCAATAGTGGACCCCTGCATGCTCTCCCTAACCTTCCTCCCTTGGCACGGGGGGAAATAGCTTGGGTGCTGAGGAGGAAATGTGAGGATCATCCCCCTTTCTAATTCCTCATCCTTTCCCCTCTCCAGATGGGGGGGTTAATTGAGTAAAGGAAAGGCACTTTTGCCCCGTAACCCTGCTGACTGCTTTGCAACGCTGGTTCATTAAGACCCTTACATCTCTTTCTTTAATGGCTCCAACATTACACTGTTCCGGTGATGCACACTCCGTACTGGCAGGTCTCTTTTATTCAGACGATGTCTCGGCCCTCGGGCTTTCTTCAGGATCAACTATCATTTTTGAAAGAGGCCTTGGGGCCGGAACATCATCCGAATAAAAAAATACATGCATATGGAGCGGCAGTGTGATTCACTGGTGTGCGTTACCTTTTTTATACACAATGGTCCAATGAAGCCTAGATGTTCTTTACATCAGTAGCTGTTATTGTTGGTATTCAACAGCAGACTCTTGCATTTTCCGGGCCATGCCTCAAGGTTGGAGTAGAGTGGGTGGGAGTCCAACTTTAACTTGTAAACGTACTTGGGCAAGAATGACTGCGTATGCTCATTATCAGTGAGAAAAGAACACATAAACTCACACTGACCGTGAAATATCAACGTGTACTGTATATCCTATGTGTTTGAGCAATTCTTAAACACATCAATTATTTCTAGCAGTGTTTCTTTCTCTCCTCAACCACCATACAGAAGATAACCATAGGAATGCAATATAAGCCCCAAGTTATTCTGTGTTTTCCTGTATGAGCTCTTCTTGGTTTGAAGAAGACAGCTCCCATGCCACAAAGAGTATCCAACCTTCTCTGGTGGGGTCCTGGAGTTTGTAGTCCATGTTGAGAATTGGGGTTGAAATTTAGTTTGGAAATGAACTATAGTTCTAATCATAAATTATGAATGGTACATGAATACATTTACAAAACCTGGCATGCCATACACAGTTGTGTTTTGCTCACTCGTGTTTTAAAATAGCATGGGTAAAAATAGAGGCCATTCGTTTATTTTAAATGCATTTGAGGCTTCAGTTGACAGATGCCTAGTGAGGGGGCTGACGTGACGCTGCTGATCTCATCTTGATGGATCGTTTGACAATTCCTGCTGTCCCTCAACTGTGGGATTAAAGCTAAAATATGTCCAAACTATGTTCTTAAATACAAGCTAGTATCTGACCCTATTTTTTTTAAAATGATTTGACATCTTTACCCACACAGGGAACAACGAATTATGGCTCTCAACTTTCTCAACTTTGCTAAAGGCCTCCACATGCTGTTTTTTGGCAATATGTGGTCATTTCTGCAGTACATGTTATCGCATCCCATGATCGTAAAGCTTCATTTGACTTGTTTTGATAATTCTATCATTACACAGTATGGGCCCGTGCTAAAGGAGCTCCTTAATTAACACCTATTTGTACAAGCATGCACACAAGCCTGAAGGGCTATACGCAGCTTCAGATAAGAGCACCTCTTTGCTGCTGGATTCAAAGCTGTTCAAATGTGGAAGCCCCACCGATAATAGACCATATTCCCTCTGTATAATCCCCGGAAAATCTGCTCAAGGCGACCAAGAAGAGTGGCAGCAAACATCTATCCTTTGCTTTGTGCGGAGTTCACGAACAAAATGTCCTCCATGCAGAATAAGGAGCTATTGTCTATTTTACAAAGCTCACGACTAAACAATGGCAACAAAATCGCAGTGAAACACTCGGGAATAGGAAATGTATTCAAATTGTAATGTTCAGCCCAGCTGTCAGACTTAAAAGTTTTCCTTTTTGCATACAATACAATAGGAAGCAGGCATATAATTTATCTCCATTTTCCACCTCTTTGTTCCGCTGCGTGTAAATGCCTCTAAAAGAAAGTGATAAATGTTATAAACAACACAAAGTATACAAGCCCTGAATACGGACTTAATATTTTCAATCAAACGCCGCTGTCAAGGAGAAAGGCAAGCAGGGAGCCACCTATGGCCGTGCTGACAGGTGGCCCGGGCGCGATAAAGATGCTGCTGTGAGGATGCAGGATATCTATAAAGGGACAACTGTGTATCTTTTGCGTGGAGCCCTATAACAGGTGGGAGCTTGACAGGGGATTGAAGCAATCAGTCCCTCCATCAATCCCTGTCCTACAACTCCAACTCTGACAGCTGGTGTGACACCTACTGTTGCCCTTGCCTGATGGGTGGTCCCCTTTCTGCCTCAATCAAAGGTGACACACATCATCTCCGCCTATATACATTGAAAGACCCAGCTGTTACCCATCATGATCAATGTATGAAATGGCAATGATGACAAAAAAGTGAACCATATGTGTCTCCAGAGGAAGACTTTGCTACTGTGCTTTCATTAACGGCGGATTTAAAACCCAAGGGCAGAATACCAAGACGATGCCTTCTCTTTGTCCTTGTGAATAATATTCCTCCCAATTGCCTTCAAGTAAGCCAATCCCAGGAGTTTTCACTGAAAGAACATTAGCAGGAAGGTGATTTCTTTGCAGTTCCAGATGGGTTGTTTTCTTGGCAAGAAAAGATGCAAAACTATTACATTTTTAATTTCTTGTTACTTTAAGGAAATGCATTTTCTTTCACAATTCTTGGGGCTCCGTAATTACATTCAAGACATCATTTCAGAGATCAGTAAACCCAAATAACAAAAAAAATACTTTTCGCTCCTACCTCAAGGATATCTAGCTACCATTACTGCCTTTGCAGATGTTTAATGAATTCTGCAACAATTTAAAGAGGTAACCCAGGGACTACCAACAGAGAGGTTTAAAAAAGAATCATTAAAATGTAAGCAGCAGATAAAATGATACCCTGCTCTCCTCCCTGGATCCTACATGGTTAACAATGCCCCAAAAGATCCTCCTCATCTAGTAAATTCGTACATCATACTCGCACTGGGATGGCCCCAATAATATCACTATGACATCATCAAGGTCTTCTCCTAAGACAAAGCCTCTCCAGGGCCACAGAGAACATACAACTGTTCACATGCTGAGTACCACCTCACATGAACACTAAAAGGACCTTCTTCACAGTGGAGTGTCCACCTAAACTCACACACAATATTTTAGGATATCTCAAAGACTTTTCTAAGGATTTTAATTAGTATTTTATAAAAAAATATATCAGAATCAACCTACCTAAATTATCTATCTAAATGATTTCCACCAGAATTGTCCCATTGCACTGTACAGAAGTGCGTCAATGTTATTTCAGAAGCATCTTTAGAACTGACAACAAACCCACACCTGACTGACATACGGCCAAAGTGTACACAGTACAAATGGCTCTTGATAGATTATGCATTCAGCAAAGAGTCCTTTGATATTTCTTTCAGAGGCCAAGGACACATCTCTAATGGCTTTCCTGTCGTTCTTTTACCTGCAGATGGTCTACCCGCTCTCTCTTTCTCCATCAGCTCCTTGACCTTGATTGGCATGTTGGCAGTGATCACTTACACGGTGAGTTGGGACCTGAGACAAGTGTTGATGTTGTTTCATGTGTTTTAATGGAGCTATATCTACTCAGTGGTGAAGTCAAATCATCCAATGGGATGTTTTCCAAAAACGTTGCCAGCCCAGTAGCTCAATAGAACATCTGCGTATCAAGACTCATCAAATGTTTAAAGTATTAAGAAAGATTCATTTAACTTATATTTTCCGAAGTGGAGCTGTCAGGGCTAAAAAAGCATGTTTTTGCCACAAATGTACTTAAGGTGCAGTGCAGTTTCTTAAAGTTTTTCCTGTACAATTGGTTTCTCACCTTCTGAGTTGAGATGTACCTGGTGATGGAGTGGCCTTTCAGTATTTGTAATGCCTTGTGATGTTAGAGCTCTGGCATTCAATTGCTCAAACTACTCAGACCGCTGTCTTTCACCTGAGCGCCTGAGACTTTTGCATGATGAATGTTGTGCACCCTTCACCGGCTTATCTACCACTTATCAGCCGTCTATTTATAAATATATAAATATATATATATATAGATCCACCTCAGTGGCCATTAATATATGCCTATATTTTGATTCCCTCAGCATTCTGCACTTTTTCAATTTTTTTCCTATATCAGAAAAATTGACTGCTGTAACACTTCTTAATGCTGTCCATTTTTCATAGCTGTTATCTTGGTGAATACACTGTGAATATTCCCTGTGGGTGGGGGCACTGGTGCCATTGTGAGAGTTACACAGAAAAGTGCCTACTGGGTAGAAATATTAAAAAAAAAAGTGTTCCTGTATAAACCCAGAGAGTGAGAGTAAAAGTAACAGCCAACCCCAATCTTTCCAGTTTCTGTGGAGCTCAAGGAGTCCTATTTGACAAATCACACAACAATTGAGTGTGGAACTCCTAATGAATAATACGCAACCGAGACAAGGAGGTTGTAGAACGAGTCTCGCTTAAGGACATGCAATCCATCTCCATTGGGAGTGTGTCCACTGTTCTCTAAAGGGTGCATAATTACCCAGTGCATGTTGGAAGTGTTCTCAGATTTGCACTGACCCCTTGTTGATGTTGACTCTGCAAAAGCCCTGTAGAAGTCAAAACACCCAGTGCGACTTTGTTTTTTCTTGTTTTGATGAAGTCAGTCGAATAAATCAAGCCTTTGGGCGACAACAGCGTCTGCCACTCCCTTATTCTCACAGAAACAAGTGCAGAATCTCTCTTTATCTCACGAGATCTCACTATCTCGCTTTTTTCCTCTCTCCTCTTTCTTCAAGCGGCGAAAGTCTTTTTAGTTGCAGCCTACCCATATTTGCAAAGAGCTGTTTGATTTATTATTTTTTATTATGTGTTACTATTAAGCCTGATTAAATGGAATCTTAGTGACAGGTACTATAAGCAGCGGAAATGTTGTCCATTACTCCTGTGCTAATTTATCACGACTCTGCGTACAGAACTTGCCATCTTCACCTAATGTAAAAAACTCAGTGATGTAAACAGTATATATCAGTGCAGCCCAGTGCACTTAAAATGAATACAAAGTGAAACAACTTTGACATCCTTTTGAACTTTTTATGCCATGTTCTCTTATGAGAAAGAAGGAGCATAAGGGAAACATATTTGTGTAATACATATTTGATCAAACAGAGATATCCTGTTGTAAAAGAAATGTGACACTGTTTTTGATTTGACTAGGCTTGGTGTATGTCTATCCATCCTTTTGCTAAACTTAACACATTATTTTAATAGTTTGAATACTAAATGTTTCTATTGGGAAAAGTATCATAGATAATCAATTCACCACTAATAATACAATTAGCTTGTTGTCTGTTACAGTGGCATACTGTTATTACAGTTCATCAATTAGAGCTCAGCCTTAGAGGAGATAATACTATAATTATACTCTAACTCCAGATAAAATACATAGATTTATTTTTCCACGCTATATAATTAACATACTGTGTTAATCATCAGAGTTTTCATCCCTGCACTTTCAACTTATAATAGATAAGGAATAAAAGTGAATTAAAGTACACAGAAATATAACAAATTTCAAAAGCATTATCTGATTGTGACTTAAAAATAAAGTCCTGTTTAGTCACTAAACTGTTACAGTTGGTGTGTGGTTTTATAACTAATTGTTTAGCACCTGTCAATCACTTTGAGCAATAGCAGGTAACATAAATGAATAGGTTGTCCCTTAAATAATTTGAATAGTTATACGCTTTGTATTGGATTTGTGATGAAAGCCTTTGTCACTTAATAATGAGGCTGTCATTTTTTAATGGTGATGAGTAAGTAACTTGACAATGCCTATCTATAATAATAGTACATTTATTTCCTATCACCTGGGATGTTTACGTGCATATTCCTTCTGTATTGTGATCAGATTTGACCTGAGACATAAAGGTGGTGCATTATGTGAAGTCCTTTGACTTTATTTAAAAGCTAGGTCAGCGTATGACTCTCACATCTCTCTCTCCCGTGGGCCTACCTGTCTCTTTCTCTTAAATTGCCAGCCGGCAGATGCTGATCTGAAGTTGGGAAGATGAATGTCTGTAGATCTAATCAGAGGCCCTGAGACTGACCTGGGAAGATGTTGTCTCTGAATGAATCAGAGGGTGTCATTAAAACGTATTACTTTAGAACTATCAAATCCTTTGATGCTTCGTTTATATAATTTATATTTCTTTAGCACTTTTCAACTGATGTTAGACATTGGATTTCAAATGAAACATGGCATGAAAGTTTCACTGCAGTATAATTGTTTCATCTCTAGTTTTCAAAACTTTCAAAAAGCAAAATACAATTGCCTAAAAGGGAAGGTTTAAAAAAAAATGAACATGACAATCACAATAACATTCTGAGGTGGCTAAAAATCCCCAACTTTTGATATGTGGTCAAATTGAGGTCATTCAGGATTCATAAAAACAATTTTCATGGTAGAGCGTATATGGCATGCGCTCCTTTCTTGTGCCGCGTGTCTTGTTTTTGGAATGTTTTTAAGACACAAACAAACCTTAAATGTTCTAAAACCATTCAGCGCAATGCGTCAAGTCACACAGCACGTTAGTATTACTCTTGTTCCAGGCATCCAATCATATCAAGTAGAAGTTAGCCTTTACTATTTTCCTACCTCCTTACTGTTTTGATGCTAAAATATGTGGTTTGAACAGTTGGACAGTGGAAAATGCAACTACAAAACACTAGGTCAAGGCAAGGCAAGGCAAGTTTATTTATATAGCACTTTTCAACACAAGGCAATTCAAAGTGCTTTACAAAAAATGAAAGACATTAAGAAAATGGCATTTAAAATCAGTCATTAAAAAGAAAAGCTAATAAAATAAACATTAAAAGAAAAAATACATGGATAAAAGTTACAGTGCAGTCTAAGATATGAATAGTTCAATTAAAAGCAGCGACAAAAAGAAAAGTCTTCAGCCTGGATTTAAAAGTAGTCAGAGTTGCAGCGGACCTGCAGGTTTCTGGGAGTTTGTTCCAGATATTTGGAGCATAATAACTGAACGCTGCTTTACCATGTTTAGTTCTGACTCTGGGGACAGAAAGCTGACCAGTCCCTGAAGACCTGAGAGATCTGGATGGTTCATAATTTAGCAGGAGGTCAGAAATGTATTTTGGGCCTAAACCATTCAGTGCTTTATAAACCAGCAGCAGTATTTTTGAAATCTATTCTTTGACACACAGGAAGCCAGTGTAAAGACTTCAGAACAGGAGTGATGTGATCCACTTTCTTAGTGTTAGTGAGGACTCGAGCAGCAGCGTTCTGAATCAGCTGCAGCTTTCTAATAGATTTTTTAGTGAGACCTGTGAAGACACCATTGCAGTAGTCGAGTCTACTGAAGATAAAAGCATGGACAAGTTTTTCCAAATCCTGCTGTGACATTAGTCTTTTAATCCTAGATATATTCTTTAGGTGATAGTAGGCTGATTTAGTAACTGTTTTAATGTGACTGTTGAAACTCAGGTCAGAGTCCATGACTACACCTAGATTTCTGGCTCTATCTGTTGTTTTGAACATTGCAGGCTGAAGCTCAACGCTAACTTTTATACGTTCTGACTTGGCTCCAAAAACCATTACCTCAGTTTTATCTTTGTTTAATTGGAGAAAGTTCTGACACATCCAGTCATTGATTTGTTCAATGCACTTACTCAGTGTTTGAATTGGAGCGTAGTCTCCTGGTGAAATTGTTATGTACATTTGTGTCATCTGCATAGCTATGGTAACTTATTTTGTTGTTCTTCATTATCTGAGCCAGTGGTAGCATGTAGATGTTAAAGAGAAGAGGCCCCAAGATGGAGCCTTGAGGAACCCCACATGTCATATTTGTCAACTCAGATGTGTATTTACCGATAGAAACAAAGTTGTTTCTGTCCTTTAAGTAGGATTCAAACCAATTTAGAACTGTTTCCGAAAGTCCCACCCAGTTTTCCAGTCGGTCTAGTAATATGCTGTGGTCAACAGTGTCAAACGCAGCACTGAGATCTAATAATACTAACACTGAAGTTCTGCCACTGTCTGTGTTTAAGTGGATGTCATTAAAGACCTTTACAAGAGCAGTCTCAGTGCTGTGGTTTGGACGAAAGCCTGACTGGAACACATCGAAACAGTTATTTAAATGCAAGAAATTACTCAACTGTTGAAAAACAACTTTTTCAATGATTTTACCTAGAAATGGGAGGTTTGATATGGGCCTGTAATTGTTCATTACTGAAGCATCTAGATTATTCTTTTTTAAGAGCGGTTTAATGACTGCAGTTTTCAGGGCCTGTGGAAAAATACCTGAGTGAAGAGATTTGTTTACTATATGAAGTAGATGTGAGGCCATGCAAGGCAAAACATCTTTGAAAAATCCTGTTGGAATAATATCAAGGCAGCAGGAGGAGGATTTCAGAAGTTGTATAATGTCCTCTAGGTTTTTATCATTAATCTGATGGAATTGTGTCATGGTGTTTGAATTGATTTTAAGTGGACACAGAGACAACACATGTGCTGTTCCTGATGCAGAGGCACTGACTGCTTGTCTGATTTTCTGAATTTTGTCAGTGAAAAAGGAGGCAAAATCATTGCAGGCCCTGGTGGATAGAAATTCAGAGGCTACTGACACTGGGGGGTTAGTTAGTCTGTTGACGGTAGCAAACAAGGCACGTGCGTTGCTTTTGTTTTTGGTAATGATGTCAGAGAAGAACGATTGTCGTGTGTTTTTCAATTCCAAATTATAAAGGCCAAGTCTCTCTTTATAGATTTCAAAGTGAACCTGGAGATTTTTTTTTCGCCACCTGCGTTCAGCTTTTCGACATTCTCTTTTTTCTGTTTTCACGGTCATGGCCTTTCTCCATGGAGATATTTTCTTGCCAGACACTTCCTTTACCTTAGTTGGAGCAATGGCATCTATAACATTTTTAATTTTTGAATTAAAATGATCTACTAGGTCACCCTATTATTAAAATACAAGTTGGAGCTTGACAACTGCTTCAATAAATTGTTATCACACATTTGATTGCCTGGTTGCGCACGCAGTCCCACTCCACAGGCACACCATGCTGTTTTTCTTGGAAGTGCTTTACCAAGGCACTTGTGAAGTGACCGTACCTGTAGTGATGTATTTCGGTGTGTCCAAATCCATGGTTTTCTGGAAGGTTTCTTGTTTTGTTTTTTTGTCAAAGGCTCACATGTGCAATTACTTTATGATTAGCACACCACTGATTGTAATGGATCATTAAGCTTACTGCAATTACTGTAATTAAAGAAGAGGTCATAGGTGGTACAATGTCTTTAGAAACCCAAAAGAGCGCACTTAAGGTTCGAGAAGCATGGAAGGCCTTGTCAGAACTGCGACATAGTTTGATTTTTCAGCTGTAGAGAAATTGGTAAAATTGCTTCCGTTAATTAAAACCTTTCATTTACACACAGCCAACCCATGTGAAAGGGGGGGGGGATCAACATAGGGCAAGTTATTTACTGACTAAAAATGTGTGGCAGTCTCTTCATTGGTCACTGACAAACCAGAGTATTCCTTATTACTAAACTGACTACACTATGTCTCAAAGGTTATACTGTATAGGCAGATGAGATTTAGTGACACAGCTGCTGGAAGGATACGGCAGGAAACACAAGTTTGAAGCTCAGTCATACAAGAATACACACTAATAAAGCCTCCATTGTTATCTCTATTAACATACTTAGTACATAATACTAGAATGACCTCTTAAGCTAAAGGTTTTGATAACGTTGGGAAAGCCTCTTCTCTCTCCGTCCTCTTCCCTTTTGACTCCACCCCCACTAGAATAAAGAGCAACACTGAGGAGGCTTGTGTAAGAGACCTATGTCCATCTAGTCTTCCCTCTTCCCACTCAGCAGTCACATGACTCTCACTGAGTGATTTCAGCCACTATATCCACTCTCAACCTACACACTCGTCGAGTCACACACACTTTACTCCAATACAAGCTATATCTGGTAATTATTGACTACAGTGGGTTTTAAAATAACTTTAAATGTCCAAGCATGATTATATGTCAACTAACAATGTGCACCCCAGCATAGGGACACCCGTGGGTTTTCTTTTATATTTCTCCCATGTAGTTGCAAATTTGAGCAAAGGGAAATGTTTCTCTTGGGATCTGGGACAGGTTTTCCTTTTATGAGTGTGTTTGATATTCGGGACATGCTCCGGCCTTAAGAGCTCCATGATTCATTGCAGGAGGCGACACTCGCCCGTAGCAGAGATCCACTGCAGAGACTAATAATAGTAAAGCCTGACTTAGTATCCCATGCGACTCTCTTAATGCTTCCTAACACTCAGAAACTAGTAAAAGTTGTTTTAGAAAAATATAGGCTCTGCCATTACAGCACTTGGAAAATAGAATAAAGAGGACAGTGACAGGGCTTGAAGTGTCTCTGCACAGAGGGCCACTTTGTTTTATTATCAAGCCATAAAATGGCACTTCTTGAAGTTGGTTAAGGCAAGGCAGCGCAGGGAGAGCAAGAAAGCACAGGCCTGTTGCTTTTATTTTCATTTTGATTCATTATACTGTTTCCCTCATTTGAATTGAAGTTCAACATCCCTCCCACTGAAAGCTGAACATGTCTTTTTACTTTCGTGCACATATTCTCTCTGTGTCTCTCTTTGCTGCCACTGTTTTGATGTTCTGTGTATGCCTGGTAACCATTCAACATTGATGACCCCTGGATGCCCCTCCTTTAACCCAGATACCTCTCTCTAAAATTCCACTTATAAAAATGTGATCAAATCCTGGATAGAGGATAGTGCTGTCACATGGGGGCACTGTTAAGCTGTAAATTGCATCACAGCGATATGAGGCAGTGACTTCCACACAAAATGGTTGCAGCAAATTCACCAATAAACCTCAGCACAATTATAGATTCCACCATTTTAATCCTTTTTCCTCAACCAAAAATGACATGGCCCAGTAACTGTACGATACCCTGTGTTTGTTTGCTTACACATTTGACGTGTTTCTTGCATTGTGATGGTTTGTCATCAAACAGGCGTAAATATGTGTGGGTGGGTGCATGTGCCATATGTGCCATTCCACTCTGACAATACTGTGTGATTATAATAGTACTTTTGCTCTTGTTTTCAGGCATACGGTATGTCTGTACTGCCTTTGAATCTGATAAAAGGCACACGGAGTGTGGTGTACGAACGCCTGGAGAACACAGAGGACATTGATGATGTCGAGCATCAGATAGAAAAGCTGAAATCCAAGGTTGGTATCTCAGATGGCACATACTGCAATAGTGACATAAGTCATGCGATCACTTAATTGAACAAAACCTAGAAGTGAAGATTAACAGATTTATTAATAGCAAATATTCCAAAAATATTTGAACAATGCTTGCTGATTCTCCTCTGCACTGTGTATGATGGGTGTCTAGTCATGCGTTTATAGAGGTAAACATGCACCATTCCCTCTACTTCATCCGTCTGCAGTGTCCCTGTCTTGCGTGCACTCACAGATGCTTTGCATTGTGCTTATCAACCCCCCCCCCCCCCCCCCTCAAATGAAGGCAGCACAAACAGGGAAACACATGTACACAGGTCTATGTGTTGCTATTAGTTGCCAGGGTCAACGTGAAGCTAAACGCAAAACAACATTTGTCACAATGCAATCGTCATTCCTTCGCTATATATATTTAGTGAACACAGGAATGGTTGTTTTACAGATCAATTGCATAGTAAATACAAAAAGGACAAAGTCCAACATAGAACATACACAACATATTTTGCTTAAATTATTTGAATTTCAAAAGCCGACATTCTTACTTGATGATTTTATTTTCTGAAATGATAAATAAGGTGAAAATGAGATTTGTTATAACTGAACCTTTATACCTTATTATTTTGTATTGATTATATATTTCTTATTGAAATGTATTGAACATTTCTTGTACAGTTCAACATTATCCACACCAGACACTCCAACTACAACAGATAATACCATACATACAACCCATTGGTTTTCCTTTAAATATGTATGAATTGACATGTTTGGTTGTGTGTCTGTGTTTTGTCAGTGTGAAGACGGACGTCCTCTCTCCTCAAGGGACAGAGCGAACCTGCAGGAGCTGGAGGGCAAACTGCAGGTCCTCCGGCGCAGGGGGAGACACCTTGACATCGCAGAGAGGAACTGCTGCACTAAAGTGGGCAGTGCTCTCAGACCTTTAAAGGTGAGTCTACATAGTGAAATTGGGTCCATTTAACAGAAGTGAAATATATTTCTTATATGAACTGTATTTTATTGTCTGCACATGATTATTGGATGGACTTTATGTGTTGTTGCCTTGTTTTAAGTGGCACTGTTGTGTTATTGATCAGAGGTAGGTTAAGGCTACACAATAAACCAAAGCTAATGTTGTGTTTCTTCACTATAGTTGTGTAATTTAAGGATTCATGTTAAGCCACGTATCATGCCGTTGTTCGTTTTTCGACAACTTCAAAATCTTTCTCCTTAACTTCTTCTTGGTGCTCAAGTTCTAACCTGGACTGCTCTAGATTTACTTTTAGTTCTACTTTACACAACCGCATATTTACACGATTCCCACGGGTAGTCTCCTCACCTAATTTACTCTGAAGTCTCTCAGGGAGTCTCACATTTCACAGGCGAGATCTCACGGTTCCCCTGGGATCATCCAAAACAACTTTTTTGGGTTGGGCTAACCCAAACTTGGACCTTTTTATAAATGCAATTTAATATCATTGTGCCCATATTTAAAAGTTGCAAAAGGGGGTGGGATAGGAGCTGGTTTATAACAACACTTGCTTTAAAGTTAAAAAGCAGTACTACCTTCATATCTATATCTACTGGCCTAGTCCAGGCAGAATACATCTGTATCCTCATCCCTAACCACCTGGTTACCATGATGCACCAGCTGTGATTATTAGCATCTTTGTAGTAGTTTAGGCGTAAACAACAGATTAGAATTTTTTATTTAACAAAAAATACCCAATTTTATTTTTAAATAACCCAGAGACTGTCTTGACCAATCTTTGAATAACAGAATAAAGGCTGATCATATCTGCTTGAATGTGATGTCGGTGGGTCAGTTATTTATTTTTCCTTTAATGTGTTGTACTGTATCTTACCTGTTTGGATCTTTCTGACAACAATAATATTTTTCTCCTCACACACTTCCTGCTTTAGCTGTTAAATTCGTATAAAAAGGGTATTGGGACGACATGCTACTTTAATGACTCACCACACAACACCCAGCGCTCATTCACATTTAGGTGCATTGCAACTATCTGAGCAGAATAGCATGCGTTCTTTTTGTCCGTTCATACATGAAGTAAAGGCATTGCAAAGCCAAACTATTCATTTTAAAACTATTTTTGTGATTTATCTGTGTTATGGACAGGAACAATTGTAACATCATGCTCCTGGTTCACATTTCCCTCCCACTGCTATTCATTTCCCAGTATTTGACTGCACTGCAGGTATGCACAAACATTTTAAACCAGTGTCTGTAACAGTTTGTCTCTAACCGAGGGGTTGCTGCTAATGACAGTCCCCAGACCCAAATGTGAACAGTAATGAGTTGGGAGATGTATTTACTGTATACTCAGGCACTGGTGTAGAGTGATAAGCCAAATGATTGTGATTTCTCCAGAGCAGTTGCACCACCATTCCTCCGACACATGCTGTCCTTTTCATATCAACTCTGGTGGTGGGCGAAAAGGACTTCTTGAACATGCAGATATCTACAGTTCAAAACAGCTTGGACCCCAGAAAAATAGCTACTGTGTTTTGGATGGGATCATAACAAAATGCTTTCGTCTTTGCATTTTCCAATTTAATAGCCAAACTGTTTTTGCATGACAAAGATATCTCTTCTTTTTACATTTGTTTTTTGGATTAAGAAGATGAGGCCAGTTTAATCAGTACATTGAATTACTATATTTTCCTTTGTCTAGCCAAATTACTTTTTAAATTGTGTTTATATCGAGGCAATATCAAAATTAAAACAAAGTGTGTGTTGATTATCCGTTCCTTGATTGTAATTGATGCTTAACTACAATCATTAAGTAATGTTTGTTCTTAGCTAATTTGTTTGAAAGATAGTTTTTTATTATAATCTCTTTAGACATTGTGCTATATGTCACTGAAACATATATTTTAATTGTACTACATATTCTGTTCACCTGTTTTTAAGTTCCCTATGGCTGGTACAGGATAAAATATAATGTATTTTTTTAGCTATGAAGCCCCCCCTGAAGGCGAGCAGTTGATTTTTGGCTGCCATCCACCTTGCGCCTCCTGGTGTCCCCCTCCCTGCTCTGTGTGGACCGTGCCATTGCCCCCCCACCCCCCCCGTCCCTTCAGTTAGCAGTGCCAAACTGTGCCATATGGTCTCTCCTTGACAAAAGACATGGAAGAAAGGTTATATTTGCTGACCCTGTAGATGCCTTTGTAAACATACCTCTTCCTAGGGCTGCTCGGGTTATGGCAAAAATCATAATCTCGATTATTTGGGTCAATAATTGATATCACGATTATCCATTTACTTTGAAAACATCCATTTATTGAAGACAAAAATGTGAACAGTATGTTTTTCACAGTTGATTACCATTAACTTTAAGTATAATTCAACTGAAAAAACAATAAAATAAAATAAAAAATGTATTAAAAAAAAGAAAATAATTGTTTTATTTCGATTATGTTGTTTTCATAATCGTTGCAAGCCAAAATCGTAATTGCGATTAAAATAGGATTAATTGAGCAGCCCTACCTCTTCCTTTATCCCTGTTCTTCAGTCATTGGGCTCATTGTGATCCCTGTTCGTTTGTTGGGGGAACATAATCACTGCTATAATGGATTGTTTTTTCTGCAGATAACGCTGGGCATTTTCTTTATTCTGGTTGCACTGCTGTTCACTGTTGCCCTGTTCATTTCAAAGTAAGTCATAACACAACAAATCAAAAGGCAGGCAGTACGGCACAAAATCAACCAGCATTTTTCTGTTCTGCTATGTGTAAATCTGGACCCAAGTACACGTGTTTAAGTATTTCCTTGTGTTTCAGTTTGGATAAAGCTCTCCACTCTGCTGGCATCAGCTCTGGGTTCATAATCTTTGGCACCAACATCACCAACCCTCTGAATGAACTACTATTAGTATTACAGCCGGTAAGTATCCTCTCATCTGTCATGTCACAATGATGATTATCCTCAATTAAGATGTGCTTAAAAACATATTTTTTTGTTTCCATCATCATCTTCCTCAATTAAGCATAATTCCATCTGTTCAAAAGTGTATTTGCTTTAATGTAGTGCAGGTGATCTTTTAAAATAACAAAATCTCAACAGCAAAAGTGGCTCCATACATTCAATGAGTCATGGCTTTATGAAACAATTAGCAGTTTGTCACTCCTAAATATGCTCTTACAGTCACCACTTAGTCCAGCAATCATAAGGTAGCAACATTACAGACAGGGAAATGATACCCATATTAACTCACTATTGATTTTGCATTCTGATATCAATTCAAAATAATGTAATGTTCCACGGGAGGAAGGCTGAGGGAAATGAAAACACCATTAATAACACAGCTATAAGTCGGAGCATGTTAAATGTTAAATGGCAGCGATAGAGAGATAGCAGGATAGTTACTACAGAAAGACTGTTTTCATAAACAAGCTGTTGATCTGATTCTGAAACCACTTATTCAGTGATGCAGAAGTTAGTATTTAAAAAACCTATTGTCATTGTAACTTCCACAAAGGATACAAATAATAGTAAAACCCTACAGTACAATACAGTGTTATACAACAACCTTGCCTCCTTATATTTTATAAATAATAATGATGATGACATACTTTCCCTAACATCACCAGGCTGTCTGTTTTAACTCATCTAAAACCACTGTGCGCTTTGCAGTCAAAGGGTCAATCAATAACGTTTCATCATTTACATTTCTCTGTAAACCACAATTGGAAATAAAAGGTGTAAAAGTATAGTGGAGTATAACAAAGATGAATGTTAATAAGGTACAACAAATCTTTGCATCGCCCATAAATATTCTGTTTTGCCATTTACAATATTTGTGTAATTTTCATTAAATGATATGTACGGCCTCAACGTTTTGCATGGATGTCTGATGAATGAACCACAATGTATTCCTTCTCTTTTCTTGACTGTTGTGTTCTCTCCAGTGAAATGTTATAATCTTGTTTATTTCTCTATAAAGTTTTGATTTTAGCATTGCCTTAGAGTTTTTAAAATGTGAACTTTTGAGACAACATTACATCAGGACCTTTTCTTCTTTCCTCCTGGTCTGCTGCAAGACATCAGACGATCTGTTAAACTTAGTATTCCACTGCCGAGTTTAGAGGAAAAATTGACTGACAGCTCAGACATTAAAGAATGGCCTCATAGATAGTGGCATTGATTAAATGTCTACGGCCAGTGTTTAGAAGTATGACCTTGATATCTAAGAAATAAGTGCCCCATAACAAGAAGAATGGAAAACTGCATAGGGATCAGGTTTGAGGTTAAATCAGAACATGAGAGAACATAATTGGTGTAATACTCACACGCACTGTGCTAATTCTAAGGTTAGGTAAAATAACCAACAGGTGCTTGGACCAGCTCGATGTGCTTTAGACTAATTTGCCTGGAGAAAGTGTAATTGGTGTAAGTTGCTCTTTAACAGCTCCAAGCGTCCCTGGGAGGAAACCAGCCATTAACAGCAATAATGTTTACTTTGTGAGAGATATAGCTGACCTTCTGTCCTTGTGGTCATAGGTTTTTCCGCTGGACTACATCCTGATCACAGTCATCACCATGTACTTTGTAGTGACCTCCATGGCTGGCATTCGCAACATGGGCATCTGGTTCTTCTGGATAAGGGTAAGCAAAGGCCTTATTGTGTATTAGCCTATAAACGTACCACCATATCAACATTAACAATATGTTCTTGTTTTTCAGCTGTACAAAATCCGACCCAAGAAAACTCGCCCCCAGGCTCTCCTCTTCCTCTGTATGATTCTTCTCTTGATCGTCCTTCACACCAGCTACATGATCTACAGCCTGGCTCCACAGTATGTCATGTATGGCAGCCAGAAATATCTCGTACAGGTGAGCAAAAGTGAAGTCAATTCCCCTTATTTATGGTTTTTTAGTGTCATCAATAATTGCCAACTCTGAGGCTCTAACGACGTCAGTGTCGGTCAGTCGGCGGGTTGAAAGCACTTTGATCCAGCAGCATGGTCTCTGCAGGCTGGTAGCAGGGCTTTCAGACTCTTGTTCTTCTTGTGTTTTGTCTGTCTGTGTTAGGATACTGGGCTCTTACTGTGTGGATCTGTAGAACGAAAGTATAGCCTCTGTGTGAACTGATGTCGCTCTGCATTCTCTGTGTGGGTGTGTTTGCATGTGCTTTAGATCCACCCTTGTGTGTCTCAAAAATCCTTTAGACAGCATAATTAAAAGGAACCACAGTGTTGTTTTTTCTGAAACAAACTCTTTTTAAATGAGAGAGAAAAACCTTTTCTGTATGACTCAAAGTAAACATGCCTTTTCGGCTGCAGTCTTTTTACCTACAGTATCTGAATACATTATGCATAATTTGCTAGCTTGTACAATGTTGCTTGTATGCAGTGGGAAATAAGAATTGTGCACAGGGAGATTTTTTTTTAAATTAATTTTTAGGTTATCTTTATCATGTGATGTCCTCTTTAAAGTACACCCTAATTAACAGTTTATAGTTAAATGTAAACTTAAAGGCTTATTTTCCTCTGTTAGATCTCAATTAGATAGATAGATATGGAGATATAGATAGATAGATAGATATGGAGATATAGATAGATAGATAGATAGATAGATAGATAGATAGATATATAGATATGGAGATACAGTATAGATAGTTAGTTAGATAGATAGATAGTTAGATAGATAGATATGGAGGTATAGATAGATAGATAGATATGGAGGTATAGATAGATAGAGAGGTATAGATAGAGAGATATAGATAGATAGATATGGAGAGATAGAGAGATATAGATAGATAGAGTGATATAGTGATATAGATAGATAAGAGTGATATAGAGAGATATGGAGAGATAGAGATATGGAGAGATAGAGATAGATAGATAGATAGATAGATATGGAGAGATAGATAGATAAGTACTTTATTGATCCCAATTTGGGACATGTTTGTGTTGCAGCAGCATACAAAACAAGACAATGTACATAAGAGAAATCAAGACACTAGAAATAAACAGTACAAAAATATTTCTGAAATAGAAATAAAATAGCATTAAAAAGTAAAAAAAGATGTGTGTAAATGTGGAAAATATACATGTGGAAATACACATTTCCAGTAACAAATATAATGCAGGGTATTATATATACATTAATTGTGCAAGAAATTGATTATTCAATATTAAATTGAATATACATGTAAAATGTGTGAATTTTTCAAACTTTCGGGTGGTTTTCTGTTATTGTCTCATTCTTTCATTTATGTTTATGTATTATTGTAGTGTTATAGACTTCAAGATATTATACTTTTGACGCTTCTTTCAAAGCAACAATATGTAAGTACGGCATCAAGTAGTTGGAAGTGATTCTTTTCTAAACAGGCTGGTGCCTTCTGTGTTTTTTCTCAGATGCCGTCAGCAGGTCCTGCATCAGGGAACAGCACCACAAGGATCTGTGATGCTGATGCGCCTGAGGGTAAGTGTGTCCTCACTGCTAGCACAGCAAGGTAGCGTGGCCCAACAGTAAGATGTTGGAAGAACTTACAACACAGCATCAAAGATGTATCGCTCACAAGTCAAGTCTATACCAGAAGAAGCAAAGGACAGTGTTCAACCCGGCCTCTCCGTATAGAACACAGCTCAGTTGTCTTAATACCATTCATTATTCAGAAGAGGGAATAATACCAAGGACAAATATTTACTAATGCTGTACTCCTGCCGTCTCCATGCCAACGCTTATTAGAGTAAATCAGCCATGAAAAACATTATTATAAGATTTTGTGTGAATGTACATCCTACCAGTTAGCTTTATCACAATCATTTATTAATTTGCCAGAAAGCTAAAATAAGGCTCTTGTCAGTGCGGGAGCTGATAAGTTTGAATTGCCATATTCGGTTATAAAGCCAGAGATAGTTTTAATTATGTCTGTGTGGCAGTCTGTCTGTCAAAAAATGTAATGAATAGAATCACTTTCACTTATAAGTCCAGCCTATGATATCAATTATTCGTGCATAGATTGTTGCACCTTGGTAAACACATATAACCCCCCCCCCATCAGTTTACCCCAGTCCCCACTCTATCTTCAACCTGTTAGTGTTTTGACTGTTTTGCATGTTTGTTTTTGTAAGGGAGGTCTATTAGTGTGGGGAGTCATTCTTTTTTCATTGAAATGAAACTAGGTGTTGGTCCATAAATGCTCTCCCAGAAGACACGGAAATGCATTGCAATTAGAGTAGCTAATGAGTGATGATGGGTTTAAATGTCAAATATTTAATTCATATTTTGAGTAAAGGTCACATTAAAACAGTTAAATAAAAGTGGTGGATTCTCACAAATATTAAGCATATATGATATTTCCTATATACTTATTTTGGCTGTACCAGCCCTTAAGTATTGTATAACAGTTATATATTTGTGTAAATAAATATTGTTTGGTCATTTTACAAATACTTTCCTTCTCCGGACTCTTACGTTTTGATTAAGTTTCCATTTTATTTGTTTACATAGAGGTTTGAGTTTTGTTCTACTGTAAGCTAAAAGCAACAGCTGGCAAATCCCACCAGTAATTCATTTATTGCTGAAGAGTTCCCCTTAAAGATGTTCCCTCTAATAGCTCCCATTAACATTAAGAGAAGGATGTGAGTGTTGGTTGGCAGAACTGCTTAAAAAACGTTTTACCAAATATGCCATTAGCCTATAGCTGTCTTCAATTTCAAATGGATGTTAAATCGCCGGACTATTTAAAAGTTGTTGCTACTGCTCGTATTAGTTATATTGAAGTTAAAGTATAGGGAGTAGTGGCGTACTGATGCTGCTGCATTTGTTCACAAGTCTTCAAGGCTAAAAAATACTTCATACGGAATAGATTGAACTGAATCTACCTCAATTCAGAACACTGTAATGCATATTCAAAGCCACATTGTATGACATGCCATTTGTTAGTGGGCACAAGGTTCTTCCCTTTTGAAGTGTGGATACAATTATTTAAAAAAATAAAATGTATGCAGCACTTTAAAAAACTTGCTCGTCTAACAAACACATAACTAATGCTGCATATAACTAATGCTGCATATAACTAATGCTGCATATAACTAATGCTGCATATAACTAATGCTGCATATAACTAATGTTGCATATAACTAATGCTGCATATAACTAATGCTGCATATAACTAATGCTGCATATAACTAATGCTGTTGATATATTGTGATTTTAAGGGTGACTATTATCATCTGGCCAGGGACAACAGCTGGAAATTAGCCATGTTGGCTAAAGCTCCATTTACTGTTTTTGTGACAGTTGATCAATGGGGACTGTCCACGACACTATAAACAAATAAACTAAACAAAACTAAATAGGAATAACTTCAGACAATTAACTAAACTACAGACAAAACGAAGAAAGAACCAGAAGCCATTAGCATGTTTTCTTGGTCTTTCAGAAGAGGCTGTAATTAATGGTTGGCGACGATATCAGGGTTATACAACATGGAGGTGCTAATGGACTAATGTATTTGGCATTTGAAAGAAGCTTACCTCTTTGGACCAAGTTCTCATGAATATATGGCACCTTTCACAAAAGGTGGTCGTCGCTATTCCAAGGCTAGACGGTATTTAGTTTTAAATGAATGTTTCTTTCAAATCAAAACATTTGGCACTACGTTGCCCTTAAACTGTGGATAATTTACCTATCTAGACAATAGACAACTCATATAATTATATATATAATAACAACTAAAACTATAAAGGAAATGCAAATAAAATACTTTTTGTTGATACATACATTTGCTTTCAATTAATCCAGCTATGTTTACTTGGTACACTAATGCCAAAGCTGCCAACATACATTAATTACAGAAATGACAATCCCCCATAATGCTCTTGTTTACATCACTATTCACACAGAATTGTGGAAATGAATTGATTTGGGTGTTTGTTTTTCGCAAACAAATAATTTGTTTCTCGTCCCACAACGATTACAACCAACCCGACAGATTCATCCATGATTCTGCACCGCTCTGTCGTGTTGTTTATTGCTCTCTGGAAGTTGTATTGTAGAGTATTTCACTAGAAGAGAAGCCAAAAAAGCTGTAAAGGTTGAGCTAGATTTAAGAAAATTACAACATTTATAATAATCATTTGTTGTTGGCACCAAAGGATGCTCAATTAGTAAGAATGAGTTTTTTTTTGTTTGCCCTAGCAGTGTTAATTACTGAGAGCACATGTCAAAGTATAAGTAGGTGCCAGGATCCCTCAGGCAATGGCCACGAGTATTTCTGCTCTCAGTTTAGGAAAAAGGTTCATATTTTTGCCATCTTGGAAATGGCTCCTGCTTTCATAACAGCCGTTGCACCTCCTACCATGAGGAGGAGGAAGTGTCATGCAGAGACAACACATGTGACTGCAAGGGAATATAATCAGAAGCTAACCGATTCATACACTGTAGAAAGTAACAGGTGAAATATTTCATTCCTGCAACTCTTTCTTACATAAAGTAGAGAGCACCTCATCATGCTGTGGTGAAATTCGTTTTTTATTTATTTATCTGTAGCGGTATAAAGGCACGGAGAGGGATTAAGGGGCGAAGACTTAATGGCTATGTGCCAGTCAGTCCATTCATCTCATCTGAATGTCTATCAATAATCTGTGCTCTTTAAATAATGTATACTTAAATTCCTGTTTGCATGGCCCATTATTAAGGACCTAAACTGATGCTGTTCCACTGATAGGAAAAAGGCATTCACGTGGTTCAATGCAGGTTATGTACATGTTATTATAAAAATAATGTACAATACAAAATACATAGAAGAGTACAGTATGTACAGTATGGTCACATACCTTACTGTTCAAAAACCTTACCCTATAATACCTACATTCAGATTCTCTAATCCTTATCATGTTGAAATCTGTAACATAATGTATTATAATATTCAAATTCAGTTTCCTTGTATTCATCTTTTGCTATTTTAAATGTAGAGCCATAACAGCAAAGCATTAGGCAGCGTACTCTATCTGTATGCTTTGGAAAAAATTGAAATAGTATACTCCATGCCATGCTCCCTCTCCTGTGAGATTTCTTTTTTGTATTTGGCATGACCAAGAGATTCACAAACTTAGATATGCATTGACACATTGCTGTAGATGTTAAAATAAGAATGGGTAGAAAATGGCCTCAGATTGAGAAGAGGCTCTGGAGAGCATCACTTTGTAATAACCCTTAGTGTGGCACTGGATCAAACCACAGCTAAGGCAAAAGAGGGTATAAGTCAAGCTGCTGACTGATTGGCCGGTTGGTCACAGTGATGTAATGACGCCAACATCTTGATGAGCAGGTGCTCGCTGCCAAGCTCTCCATTATCTTCTCTAAGGTCATTACCACACCATTACTCATTTGGAGTATGTACTCAAATGGAAATGAATCCTTAGGAATTAGTTGCTATGGCCCCAGACAACCTGAACTCTGAAGTCTACTATGTGATTTAGCACGGGGTATAAAACGGATTTTAAGCAAAAGAAGAATCAGAGTATCGGCACAGTAGTGATACTGCTTTCCTCCTTATTTAATCAACTGTTAATTCCAGACAGGGAAAAGTTCAATCTTAATCCATTCATTTTATATCCACTCATTTTCACTCGTGCCATTGACACACACTTCAACCCATGCTGCACTTAGTCCAAATGTGGTTTTAGTAAATCACTCTATTTCAAGTCATTTTATTAATGAATCCCCGAAAGATGTATGTCTTCGTGGAGTCTTGCTGAAAACTTCTCAGCATTAGACAAGGCTGCTCTTTCAAATGATTCTTTCTACCATGATGCTCCCGCTGCTTCTCATGGTGGGCGAAGCGCTTTGATCGCAGACTGTGACTGGCATCAAAGTTCTTCAACATCTACCACCTTACATACTTGTACTTGATGATTTCCATTTATGTTGTATTTTTTTTGGCTGCAAATGATCTTATTTTAAAGTTGAGGATTTTAAATGTTAATGGACCATTACGAATTTAAAGAAGTTCTAATGTCAGTAATTGATGCATTTGATTTGACATCATTATGACCACTTTCATTATAGATTTATCTGTCTTTATGTCCATTTTAATGATCACATGATGTGTCTCTGACTAATGATTTTAATGACATTCTGTCTACCACTCCTGACAAAATGTCTTCCCATAACAATTATCTTAGGTCGATTGTGTTACACTCTTTAATAAACCCTGTGCATCTTGTTTACATTAAAATGCACATTTTAAAACCTGAGTATGTCAACAACAACTTAATTCCTAATGGAATAGCGGCTCCGACACTTTGCAGCAGAGTTTATTTCACCCTTCATATCAATAGATCCAACCACATGTTTTTGTTTTTGACACAGTAACTACATTTACCAAGAAATGCCCTCTGGGTCATCATTCCACTTTTCCTGCTAATGATTTTCTTGCTCTTTTCCACCATTAAGGTCGACACTTTCAGTTA